CCCAGCATTGCACCCAGCATTGCTCTGTCCTGCACCCAGCACTGCTCCCCACTCAGCTCCAGCTCCTTTTCCTGCCGTGCTGCAGCCCATGCTGATGCACAGCCCCAGAGGAGCTCTGGACACGCTCCTGTTTTCCTCTTTTGCACGCTGTTTGGTAAATGGGTGCTGGGAATCAGTTTTGCCCTGCAGTGAGGCATCAGCTGCGTTTGCTGTCTGGCTCATTTTGGAGGGCAGCACATCCCTGTGTCCCGCAGACAAAGGTTTGCACAACGCTCAGCTCCCATCCCCGCGCTGCCGCAGCCCTCCTCACTTCTCTCCAAACCAGATTCCTTTGGGATGCAGACACCCAGTCCCATGTTTACCCAGAGCCCCAAAAATGAGCCGAAAAAAGGCAAAATCGGGGCTGCACGTGGCCCTTGGGGGGGATGCAATGCATGACATCCCACCCTGAATCCTTCAACCCCTCCAAAAATGGGCTGCAGCCACGGCAGCTCTTCAACTGCTGCTGGAAGGGATTGGATACGAAAGGCAGCGCCGCGGCCGTAACTCATCCCATTTTTTCATCCCTCCTTCTACCCCCCCCCTCCCCGTCCCCCCGGCGCTGCTCTCAGTGTAACATGACATGATTTAGGGCTGAAGTGCTGGGCTCCGTCTCGGGGTTTCTTTGCTGCATGGGGTTGGGGGGGGGGGGGGAGAGGTTGGTGCCAAAGCGGCCAGCAGAAAGCGAGCTGCAGAATGGAGCATTTTCTGCCTTTTCCCCCTTTTTCAGCATTTGGAAATGCTGTGTGGTTCCCTCCCCTCCCCCCCCCCCCCCCCCCCCAAATCTCTGCAGAGGGTTTATGTGCTGCAGATTTCAGTTTCCCTTCATGGAAAAATGGGGTAAAAAGTGCAGCTTTTGTCCTTGGTTTGGTTGTGTTGCGTTGCAGGTGGGAACGGTGTGGGTTGGGAACGGGGAGAGGGAACTTGGGAACGATGGGGGGGAAAAATGGGGAATATGGGGTGTGGGGAATAGTGGGAAATAGTGGGGAATAATGGGGAATAATGGAAATAGGGACAAATAATGGGGAGTGGGGATGGTGAACTGCAGGGAATGGGAAAATCATGGGGAATGGGGATGGGAGATAAGGAATGGGGAAAGGGAATGAGAAATAATGGGAAATGGGGAACCCAGGAATGGGAAAGAAGGGGTGGGGAAGGGGAAATAATGGGGAAGGGGGAATTGGGAGTGGGAGATAATGGCAAAACGAAAACAACCCCGTGCCATGCTGACCCCCATCCCGATGGCTGCCATGCGCCCGCCCTGCAGCCGTGCTTTGTTGCAGCCCACAGGAGCAGCTCCATCCTCCTCTGCAGGAGGGTTTGCTTTAACCCTGTCCTCCCCTCTGCCCTTTCTGCCTTTGTCTGTGTTCTGGCAGCATCCCGGCCCCATTGCGGAGTTCCGTGGGGTGGCTGTGAGCCCCCCGGCCCCACAGAAATCCCTTGGTTTTTTCCCCACTGTTCTGCCTCTGGTGGATGTTGGACCGGCTGCAAATTGCATGGCATTAAAAGCCTCATCTGCCCCGTCCCAAAGAGCCGAGCAGCCCCTAATTATGGCCTCTAATTAGGGCCGGCATCAAGCTGAATCTCCTATCTCAGCTGCAGTCTTCAGAAATGGGTTCTCGGCCATCTCTGTGCCCCATTCACTGCACACAGTGCTGTTTTCCATCTGAGCAGTGTGCAAACACCACACTGTGCCCCAACCTCGTCCCAGCCCCAACACCATCCCCAACTGCAACCCCATTCCATGTCCAACCCCATCTCCATCCATCACCGTCCCATCCCAACCCCATCTCCATCCCATCCCCATCCCAATCCCATCTCCATCCATCACCATCCCATCTCCATCCCATCCCCATCTCCATCCTCATCCCAACCCCATCCCATCCCAACCCCATCCCATCCGTATCTTCATCCCCATCCCATCCCCACCCCATCCCATCCCATCTCCATCGCCATCCCAACCTCACCCCATCCCCATCCCCATCTCCATCCCCACCCCATCCCAACCCATCCCCATCCCCATCCCCATCCCAATCCCAATCCCATCCCATCCCAACCCCATCCCCACCCCATTCCATCCTATCACCATCTCCACCCCATCCCCACTCCATCCCATCCCCATTTCCATCCCCATCCCAACCCCACCCCATCCCATCCCATCCCCATCCCCATCCCATCCCAACCCCATCCCACCCCATCCCCATCCCCGCCCCATCCCCATCCCCATCCCAACCCCATGCCATCCCATCCCATCCAGTCTCCATCCCCATCCCCATCCCATCCCATCCCATCCCATCCCCAACCCCCCACCCCATCCCCAGTCCCATAAAACGCAACCCGCATTTATTCACCCTTTTCTGAACCGTTTCATTTCAGAGGTTTACAAACGAGGACCACCTGGCAGTTCATAAACACAAACATGAGATGACATTGAAATTCGGCCCGGCGCGCACCGACTCGGTCATCATGGCAGGTACGGCTCAGCCCCGCGCCGCGTTAATGCCCACGGCTGCAAGATTAATGCTGGGGAGCAGATGCAGCGAGCCACGTCTCTGCCTCCCATAAAAAGCCCTGTGATCTGCATTTAATCAGGAGCAGAGCGGAGCCGGAGGCTGCTGACTTTCTGCTCGTTTCTTTTTTTTTCCCCTGCTTTCTTTACGGCGGTGTTGGGTTTTTTCTCCTTCTCTCTTTTGTTTTCCCCCCCCTTTTTGTCATTTGGAGGGGGGTGATGGGTGGACGGAGGTTCCTCTCTGGTGCAGGATGTGACAGCGAAGCTCCTTCCCCAGCGCTTTTCCTTTTTTGGGGGTTTGTTTTGTAAACCCAAACAGCTCCGAGTGCTGCAGGGTCAGCACAGCCCGTATGGAACAGGGAAAAGAAAGCACAGATCGGGGTCTGGCAGCAGAGCATCGCTGCTTACTGATGCTCTCCTGCTTCGTTGGGATCCTCTTTTGGGTCTCCTATGGGTTGGGGGCTTTGTGTAGGGCTGAGAGCAGGGAAATCCCTTCTGCAGCCCTCGGGAAGGACGCGCTCACCCCAGCTCCATCTCCAGCCCCATTTTGGGGCTGATGGGGAAGCAGCAATCCAGATTGCTGTGAGCCTGTGAGCCAGGGTTAGTGTTAGGGTTAGGGTTTAGGTGTAGGGTTGGGTTGGGTTGGGGTTGGCGGCTGTGGATGAGGTCCTAAGAGAGCTGAGGCTGGACCCCAAGGGACCCAAAATGGGGATCAGCCTCATGGGAGCTGATGAGGAAGGCATTGGGGTGGGGGCTGCAGGCAGGCTCAGTTTCCTGAAGGTCAGTTTTCCTTCAGTGAGCCCTTTGCTAAATGGGGGGGGGGGGGGGCTTTTCCTCTATGAACTCCCATCCATGTCGGCTGGGAGGGGATGGCAGCACACATGGGGTGGTTCCATTCCCAAATCCTCATCTCTGCAGCTCCCAAAGGTGCACGCAGTCGTGGGTGAGACGCCAGCACAAAACACTTCACGAACTGCTTTGTCCCGGCGTTTTCTTCCTCCCTCCCTCATTAGCTTTGTGCTAACGAGCATCAGGATTCACCCACACCAAAACACTGCAGTCAGGATGCGGAGGGTCACAAGGAACAGAGCTCTCCCCACGCGAGGACTGATTGAAATGGGAATTGGGAGCTTCTGGGCAGTTCCTGGAGGTTGGGATGGGAGAGGTGGTGGGCTGGGAGCAGTCCTGGTGCTCTGTGGCATCAGGTGAGCGACGCTGAGCGGGGAATGGTCCAAACAGAGCCCTGAAAATGCTGCAGAAGCAGCATCCCACTGAGATCTGCAGCCAGAGCAGGTCGTGGGCTTAATGGGGAGAGGTGTGGGCGAGCAAAGCGTGCTTAATGAACAAACCTTAATGAGGCAGGGAGGGTGGAATACACCACGGCTCAAGGGAAGCATCTCAAGGACCCCCTTTGTGCTGGAAAGTGCAGGAGGGTCCCGTGCAGGCAGATGGCTGCTGGTGGGTTTCTCCTCCTCCTCTGATCCCTCTGTGCTTTTGGGATCTGCTCCTTTCTGGGGACACCAACCCCACTCCAGCCCTCTGTTGTTGCCCCCGAGGACGGGCAGAGCCCCGGGTTGGGAGGGACAGGCCAGGAAAACATCATCAGGTTTTGTGCTGAGCTGGGGGGCTCAGGAGGGGCACAGGGGGGCACGGTGTGAATTGGTGCTGTTGTGCTGCCCCCCCAGATCAGACCCCGACGCCGACTCGGTTCCTGAAGAACTGCGAGGAGGTGGGGCTGTTCAACGAGCTGGCGAGCTCCTTCGAGCACGAGTTCAAGAAAGCCTCCGAGGATGAGGAGAAAAAGGCAAGAGGAGAAAGGCAGCGCTGGGAGCCCGGGCTGGGGGGGCTGTGCTGGAGGGCAGGGCGTCCTGCTGTGCCCATGTTGGGGTTTTCCTGTGGGGTGACTCTGGCTGCCAGTCGTGTGATGGGAGCCCCGTTTAGAGCGCGTTGGAAGGGTTTCCTATTCCCTTATTCCAAAGGGCAAAGAGGCGGTAATCCCAAATACTGTGCGGATCGGGGTGGAAAGAACCAACCCTGGGGGCTCTGGGATCTGAGCAGAATCCTTTCTGAACCTCTCCTGGTGTCAGATCCCCAACGATGCTCCCCAAAGGTGCAGTTCTGGGGTCCCCCCGATAAAGGAGCAGGCAGGGCTCAGGCAGCACCATCCACAGCACGGTGCATTGCGGTGGGGAGAGGGGCTGCACGCAGGAGGGGCTGCGCTAACAAAGAGCCCCCTTGGCTGCCGGCAGCATCGATCCGGGCTGCCCCCGCCACCCCGGGGCTGAAGGACGGCGGGATCTCATCAGCCAGCAGCTCATTAAGGACGACTCCCCCCCTTCCCTTCTCAGGGATCGGAGGAGCACAGCTGCGTGCGGGGCTCTTAGGCTGCCACATACATTTACGGGGTTGATGGATGGACGTCCGTCCGCCCGCAGTCAGCGGCGCTGCTCGGAAATAAACCGCGGGAGCAGAGCGGCGTAAATCTTCCCCGAGATGGGGGACGGAGGAATTGGGAACGAGCGCTGCAAAGTGCCTCTCTCTGCTCCTGGCAGCACCCATCCATCTCCGCTCAGCGCTGTGGGGCCGTGCGGGCCTTCCTCCCCTCTGCACCTTTTGTTCTCCGCAGCTCAGACTGGAGGCTGCGCCCCGGTTGTGGTTTCGGGTCGGCGTGGCTCAGCCGCCCGCAGTCTCGCCGCTCGCTTTATGGGGAGACCACCCAGCTCCCGTTGCTCTGCAGCCTTCAGCTCTCGGATATTTGCCTTTTAATTTTTGTTTGGCTCTTCAGGACGGCCGCAGGCAAAATATTTCCGCCAGCAGTCGGGAGAACGGCGGCGGCTCTGAGCTCAGGGGGTGGTTTGGGTGGAAGGGACGCGTTGACCCTCCCCAAAAAGCCCTGCGCACCCCTCAGCCCCCAGCCCCGCTGCCTCTGTGTGCCCCCCCGGAGCTGCTGCTGCATCGCTGCGACGCTCAGAGCGTTGGCTGCCGGCGGCCCCACGGCTGCTGCAGGGTTTTGTCCTCTGTTTCCAAGGGTGGTCCGACAGCAGCGCCTTAATTAAAACCATGGGAGCAGCGGGAGCTTCCCTGGAGGCACTTTAAGTGGTTCGAAATTTGCCTGCATGTTAATCCCTTCTCCTTTGTGCTTCCCATCTCTGCTTAGCAGGGCAGGTACGTGGCCACGAGCTCCGGTGTAAATCAGCGCCAGAGCAGCCCCAGAGGCACAGATTTACCTTTTTGCCTCAATTTTCCCTCCCTGGAGAGGACTTCAGATGCAGCAGAGGAGGAGGTGTGGGTTAGGGGCCGGGCTGGGCTGCCGAGCAGGGATGGGGGATGGAGAGCAGCTCTGAGTTACGGGCATTTCTGCCCTTAATCTGACGCTCAGTGCAGGGGCTTCTCCATCCGAATCCACCCCACAGCTCCATCCCGCTCCGTTCCCTCCCAGCCCCACAGAAGCAGCCGCTCTCTCGTGTCCCCCCCCCATTGTCACCTTCTTCCCATCCCCACCAGCTCCCCATCAGCTGAAACATGGCACGTGGCACTGCAGGAGCCCAGGCTGGCGGCGTGTTGCCATCTGTGGGCATGCAGTCGGGTTTCATTTTAATGGGGAGCCCGTGGATGTTTAATAACTTGCATGGCTCTTTGTTTGCTTTCGATAATCGGGCAGTAAAATAATTCAGGCTGATTTATACAACGCTTTGCAGCTCTTTCTGCGGATGAAGGTGCCCTCTGTGGCTCAGGGCTTTGTTACCTGCTTTCCTCCGCAGAGCCCTGGGATGCAAAGAATCAGGTCTGTGTTCTCAGCACGAGGTGCCATTGGGGCTGTGTGCTCACAGGGCCGGCACGGCTTCGCTCTCCGCCTCGGGCTCCCAGCTGCTGTTTCAGGACCAATAAATAATAATAATTTGGCAGCTCAGAGCTGCAGCTCTTCCTTTGGGAACGGGCGGCCGTTCGGCAGGCGATGTGAGCTCATTGTCCTCTCAATCCATCGCTGGTTTTTCCGCAGAGCAACGCAGCCCTGGACATGTCGCTGCCCTCCACCCCAGACATCAAAATAAAGGAGGAGGAGCCGGTGGAGGTGGACTCGTCCCCCCCTGACAGCCCTGCCTCCAACCCACGGTCACCGCAGAGCAAGGAGAAGGTACGTCCGACCCCCAGCCCTGGCAGAGGCTGCACAGAGCAGAGCTTCCCCCCGTTTGGGTACCACTGTGGCTCATCTTGTTTGTGAAAGAGAGAGAATCGCTTCTTCCCTCCCCGCCGCTCTTCAAACACGCTTAAATCTCCACGTGGAGGTGAAGAGAAGCTTCCTGCCTATCCCACGAATGCTCTTCAGGTGGGGATGAAGTGCAGCGCTGCAGCTTCACCCCCAGGGTGGGCAGCAGGTGGTCAGAGCAGGAGAGGAGCAGTGAATCACAGAGGGGACGACTTCCCAGAGCCAGAATCTCTGTGCCCCGTTCCCTGCAGTGACATACAGTCAGTTGGGGTAAATGGTGCCCCTCTGTGCCTCAGGTTCTGTGCCTTAAGTTTCAGAGCCATCAGAGGGAAACCAGAAGGGGCAAAGTATGGCAACTGCTGAGTCCTTGCCTGACCCACTGGTTGAGCACCTGGGGAAAGGAACCGGGCAGCCCTGAGAGCACAGGTGAAGGCAGTGCAGCTGTGCAAGCAGAAGAGGTGGAGCCTGGCTGCACCACTGTTAGACCCCATTTAAGGGCTGATTGCCAGTGGGGAGGGGTCTCTGTTTGGGGATCCCTCCTTTGTGCAGCTCAGAGATGAGTGAGCGCCTTCCCTTTGTAATGCCATCCCATTCTCTCTGGTCCCTTTGCTGTTGTACTCCTGGTTTGCCCTTCCACCGCGTTGATCTGTCAGATCATAACAGACAGCCAGGTTTGGGTGAAGGTAAATCATGGGATCGTGGAGCGTTTGGGCTGGAAGAGTCCTTAGAGATCATAGAACCGTAGGATGGTTGAGCTGGAAAGGATCTCACAGCTCCAGCTGATAACTGAACAGTAACCTCGTGTCTCCTTTTATCTGTTGGCCACCTTTAGGAGATCGCTCCCAAGCCTGTGATCATTTCCACGCCAACACCAACCATCGTGCGCCCCGGATCGCTGCCCCTGCACCTGGGCTACGACCCCCTGCACCCCACGCTGCCTTCCCCAACCTCTGTCATCACCCAGGCCCCGCCATCCAACAGGCAGCTCGGGTGAGTTTGTAGCACGGAGTCCTTGCCCCGAGGCTTCCCTCCTGTTATGCTTCCCGAGCAGTAATTAGGGACCCAGAGAAGTTCCTTGATTGGCAGAAGATCCGAGGTGCTGCGGCTGCTTGGGCATAAGGGCCTCATTGCGAAAGCAGAATGGGGTGGAAGCGCAGGAGGCAGGAACTAATTGTTGCAGTGTAATGAAACGAGGCGGATCTCACTGCAGGGAGAAATTAATCCCCGAACACAGAATCATAGAAGCTTCCACCAGGAGGTGCTCTGGGCTCCCACAGCTCTGCACGCTCCCTGGGGCTCTCCCAGCACTTCCCAGTCTGAACTGGGGGCCCAATGCTCCTCATGGTGCCTCCCCAGCACAGAGCAGAGTGGGGAGCACCTCTGTGCAGTGACCCCAGGGAGCCATTGGCCTCCTTGGCCTGCAGGGCACACAGCTGGTTGTGGTCGATCGTTGGTCAACCAGGACACCATTGGTGTTCTCAGCCACCAGGGCACACTTTTGGCTCACGGTCTCCCTTGTTGCCACCGGGACCCCCAGGTCCTTCTCTGCAGAGCTCCTTTCCATGAGCCCAGCCCTGATGGACACCAAAGCTCTGATGGTGTCTGGGGACTCCCAAGCTGCCTTTGCAGCCTGAGAGCTCAGCAAAGCCACCCATAGGAAGCTGTCTGTGTCTTTAGTGGCTTTGGCATTTTCTCAGACAGCCGCTGCCCCTGCAGCAGAGCCTCTTCTCCAGCCCTCTGCCCTCCTGCACGCTCAGCATCTGCTGTGGGAGCCGTTCATTTCAGCCCAGCAATCGACGGCCCCTTTTTGCCCCTCGATCCATCCGGCATCAGCTCAGAGCTCACTGCTGGCTGCAGCCCTCGGGAGATGCCCTTATTCTGCCTGCATTCCACCTGCATTCTGCCTGCATTCCACCTGCATTCTGCCTGTATTCCACCTTTATTCTGCCCTTGTTCTGCCTGCATTCTGCCTGCATTCCACCTTTATTCTGCCTGCATTCCACCTGCATTCTGCCTGTATTCCACCTTTATTCTGCCCTTGTTCCTCCTGCATTCTGCCTGCATTCCACCTTTATTCTGCCCGTGTTCCTCCTGCATTCTGCCTGCATTCCACCTTTATTCTGCCCTTGTTCCTCCTGCATTCTGCCTGCATTCCACCTGCATTCTGCCTTTGTTCCACCTGCATTCTGCCTGCATTCCACCTTTATTCTGCCCTTGTTCCTCCTGCATTCTGCCTGCATTCCACCTTTATTCTGCCCTTGTTCTGCCTGCATTCTGCCTGCATTCCACCTTTATTCTGCCCTTGTTCCTCCTGCATTCTGCCTGCATTCCACCTTTATTCTGCCCTTGTTCCTCCTGCATTCTGCCTGTGTTCCACCTTTATTCTGCCCTTGTTCTGCCTGCATTCTGCCTGCATTCCACCTTTATTCTGCCCGTGTTCCTCCTGCATTCTCCCTGTAACCCAGGCTGTTTGGTGCAGAGTCCCCCCTCACTTGGAGACATGAGAAAATCAAACTGGAGCAATCTGGGCTTCAATGGGGTTTTGTGTCCTCTGCAGCTCTCAGGGATGGATCCATCCCAGAGCTCCACGGGGGGGGGGTTTGGCTGCAGCCATAATGGGGCCGCAGCGGCCGCGGGGGGGTTGTCAGCGTGACAGAGATGGAGGGCAGGGCTGTGACCTCCCCACAGCTCGCCTTGTTAGCCTGGGATTTTCAAAGCAGCCTGGAGGATTTGGGATGCCCAATAGAAATGAATGAGAGCCGAGCGTTGGCGTTCCCAGGGCAGCCTTAAAAATTCCAGCCTGAGTTATGGGCACGCGGAGCCCCCCTCTCTGACCCCGCTCCCCCCACGCCGCCGTCGCTCCACGCTGGCTCCATCCATCCCCCATCCCCTGGGCTGTGCTGGAGGAGGGGGCAGCTCTGCTCTCCTCCCTGCTGCTCTCTGCACCGTTCTGCTCTGGGCTGCGCCGAGCAGGAGGAGCTCCAGGGACGTTTTCCTTCCTCTCCCCATCGCTTGCTCCATTCCACCCCCCCTTTCCCTGTGCAGGACGGTCACCGCTTGAGCGCGGCGCTCTGAAATGGAGTGAGAGGAGTGAAATGGAGGCAGAGCCCGTTTAGCCAAGCGAAATCTGCAGTGGAAAAAAAGAAATCCTTGGTTGTTTTCATTTGTAGCAATGAGGCTCCGTCCCCATCGCCTCCACCCCACCTTCCACACTCCTCAGTTCACAAAGCGCCCTTCGGAAAGGGGAAAGCCAGCAGTTCATTCGTGCTGCCTGGACGACGTCGGCCCCAAATAACCCCCGAGCCCTGCGCTGTCTTTGCAGGTCACCCACAGGTTCCCTTCCGCTCGTCGTGCAGCTGCCAAACGGGCAGACCATGCCTGTCCTGCCCGGCCCCCCCATGCAGATGCCGTCTGTGATATCGGTAAGGAAACGCAGCACGGCTCTGCGAGGCGGAGGGGAGGGAGGGCCGGCGCTTTTCCCCCTGCCAAGGCGCTTCCATGCTGCAGAAACTAAAGTGCATCTCCCCGCCCTGCGCGAGATAAGGCTTGAGCAGGAGGGGAGGGTGGGTTTTGGTGGGGGGGGGGGCGGCTCTGGCAAGGCAGCAATAACGCGGCGATCACACTAGAGGGCAATCAGTCTGGAGAAAAAACAAAGCCGTGCCCAGACAGATGGCTCACGCCGTGGATGGAGGCTGGGAGCTGCAGGGGCACTGCGTGCTGCAGTCGGAACCATCCGAGCTTGCAGTGAACGTGTTGCTCTTTGCAGGCCAGCAAAGCCGCCCCCCCTGCCCCAGCATCACCAGAGTGCCGTGCAAATGTTCTCCTCGCGTGTTGGGCTTTTTGCATGCGAGGAATTACCCGTGGTGCAGAGCTCAGGAGCAGCTCTGAGCCCCCTGAGAGCTTCAGCTTCCCCCCCCCCCCCCCCCCAGGCACGGATCCTGCTGTGTGTTTTGGCATTGGAGCGAATCGCAGCCAAAGCTGCCCCAGGTTGAGGGGAGGTCGCTGTCAGAGCAGGCAGCCCCGCGCTGCTCGTGGGCACGCAGCTCTGCGCCGTGCTGCTGCCTGCAGGCACAGCTTTGGGGCTGCAGTGCTTTGCAACAGCGGACCTGAGCGGCGTGCTAACGCAAGTGCAGGTTCTGTTTTCCCCGTGGTGAGGGCAGAGCTCTCCTCGCTTAGCAGGAGACGCTTCGATGCGCCCCCAATGCTGCTGCAGCTCTGCAGCGCTGCCGAGAACCGGAGCGCTCCGTTCCCTCCCTCCCTACCCAGGGATGGGGAGAGGAGGGAGGTGTGGGGCTGCTGCGGCCGGGCAATCCTTCACCAGCAACCGTGGCCACCAAAGGGGCGGCTGCTGCCCTGGGCTGACAGCAGCACTGATAAATGGCGGCAGTTAAACGCCGAGATTTGTCAGGGCTGATAAATGCGCTCGGTCGGGGAACGATTGCGGAGCTCGTTGGCACCGCGGCTCCTAACGCTGCGTCGGTTCCTCCCCGGCAGCTGGCACGGCCCGTGTCCATCGTGCCCAACATTCCCGGCATTCCCGGGCCGCCCATCAGCAGCAGTGGCTCCGTTTCCCCGTCGGGTCTCCCCGTGCACTCAGAAGCCAAAATGGTGAGTGTGCAACGCGTGCCCGCAGCGTTCCGTCTGCGCTGGCCCCTCCAGAAAGGCTTTTTCCCCTTGGTTTTTGCAAAGAGCCGCTCCGAAATCAGGTCAGAGTGCTGCTCTGTGCTGGGATCAGGTGTTGGAGGGGCTGCGGCTCTGGCCTGCAGGGTGGGCACTCGGTGCTGGTGGGACGCAGCTCAGCCTGGCGTCGTCTGTGCAGAGCTGCTGCCTGCATCCAAGGTAACAGATGGGCTGGAGGTGGGCTTGGGGATGGCGGAGCCAAGAGCAGGGATGCTGTGCTGCAATCTGAGGGTCTGGGTAATGGGTTTTGTGCAGAGCCTTCGACTGAAGGTCTGTGAGGAAAAAAACACCTCAATTTTAGAACAAAGGGCAGCGAAACCCCGTTGTTTTTTGGTCAGAACGGGGGGGGGGGGGGAGTACAGATCGGCCTCCTGGCAGCGCTGTGCTGTTCCACGCTGCCACCTCAATGCCACCACCAAGTGTGTGCAGGGCTCACGGGCAGAGCTGCACCATGGCTGAGATGTCTCAGAACATGTGATGAATGATCATGGATGAAAGGAGGCCCTCCACCATCCCCATCCCATCCCCATGTGGGCACTGTGTCAGTTTGGGGATGTGGGCACCTGTCTGAGCTGGAAGCTGCTGCCCGCCTCGAGCCAAACCAGGCGGTGGTGGTGGCTTCACTTGGGTTTGGAACGGCCGCTGTCACTCCTCAGTCACCTGGGTTCCCTGGGTGGGAAAGGAGCTGCATTAAGCCTCAGCAGAGCGGGGAAGGGGTGACTGATGTCCTTTGTTCTCCTCTGGCAGAGGCTGAAGGCCAGCTTGACGGCGTCTTCCTCGCTGAACGGCAGCGGCCTGGTGGTGGGCTCAGCCAGCACGATGGTGACGGCGCGCCCAGAGCAGAGCCAGATCCTCGTCCAGCACCCCGACGCTCCATCGCCAGCTCAGCCTCAGGTCTGCTGCTGCCCAGCCCCGGTGCTGGGGGTTACTGAGCCTCAGAGGAGCAAACCTCACACCTTCCTGGTTTGCAGAAACGGTTTAAAAGCTTTGTTTGTCCAGCACTGCTTCGGCACTGACGCTCTCGAACGCCACCAGGCAGAAAACTCCACCGAGGCGTTCATCTGCTTGACAGGGGCTGGAGTTCTGAAAGAATGTTTTGCTCCCTTCTCCCCGTTCGATTACGAGGGTTAAACGCTCCCCTCTCAGGCAATCAGCTCCGGCAGCTCCTGCCAGCTCACCAAATGCCAGCCCTCCATCAGCACCGCCACCTGCTCTGTCAGTTGCAGCGCCTTCCAAAAGTTTTAATGTCCATCTGCTGCCTGACAGCCCAGCAGCCGCAGTGGCAGAGCCCACCAGGTTGGGACCCCGCACCCTCCCCACCGTTTCCTTTGTTCTGAAATGAGCCTGGGCTGTGGTGTGGAGCTACAAAATCTTCCCGTTGCCTCCGAGAGCGCGTCTGGCTGAAGGCATTTGGAGAAAATGGAAAGCAAATTAATCTCGAAAGCAAATTGCCCACTCAGAAACCACTGTTTGTGCTCTGCCTGTGGTTATGGGCCCCGAGCGGAGACGGCGCGTGGTTCCGTTCCTCCCCAGCCCGCTCTGCAAAGCAGATCCCTCTTTCCCCCAGCCCCAAGATGCCGCATCTCCTCCTCCAGACCTGGTGGGAAACGCTTGCTCCGCGCTCTGTCAGCTGCGTGCTCCCTTTCAGCATCTCTTTTCCCCGTCTCCAGGTTTCCCCTGCACAACCCACTCCCAGCACCGGCGGTCGGCGGAGGCGGACGGTGGATGAGGATCCCGATGAGCGCCGGCAGCGGTTCCTGGAGAGGAACAGAGCTGCTGCCTCGCGCTGCCGGCAGAAACGCAAGCTGTGGGTGTCTTCCTTAGAGAAGAAAGCCGAGGAGCTCACAACCCAGAACATCCAGCTGAGCGTGAGTATGTAACCATTAAGGCTGAGCTCAGCCCGGCCGCTCCGGGTCGGTCACCGCGGAGGGAACGTCGTCCCCGTGCTGCAGAGAAAATGCCTTTGGGTGCTGCTGTGAACTCCAAACATATCAGTGCAGGTCAGGGGCTGAGCTGTTGGAAAGGAGCCGTGTGGAGAAGGACCTGGAGGTGCCCTGAAGGCCAGCGGTGCCCTGGTTGGCCAAAGGTTGACCGGTGATCAGCCATGAGCCAGCAGTGTGCTGCAGTGGCCAAGAAGGCCAATGATTCCCTGGGGGGAGCTGCACAGAGCACCGCCTGCTGGGGATGGGATGAAAGCAGCCGTGTTTATAGCATGGAAATGTCCTTTCTGGAGGTGGGAGCGCTCTGCTGGCACAGGGTCAGCACAGCACAGCAGTCCCAGTTCCCTTCATGGGGCAGAGGGCTGAGCAAGGAGGTTTTGCAGCTGCGGCCACAGATTTCTGTGAAGAATTGGGTCTTTCTGGCTGCTCCCCTCCTGCCTGCAGAAGTGCAGCAGGTCTAAAAACAGCTGAACAGAACCTTTCTCCTTTTGCAATTATCCTCCTCATCAATGCCCTCAGCGTTGGCCTGGGATTGGTCTGCAAAAACCAAACTCGTGTCCATCCTGGGCTTTTTCTCCCACTGCTTGCCCACGACTCATGGAATGGAATTGTTTTTCAGTAGCACCGATTGTGGCATTGAATTCTCTTCCCAAAGTAATTCTAGAAGCTGTTTCCTTGGGCAGTTCTGCAGCGTAACTGACAGAGTTTCAGCCATTTCTCCAAACCTTTCCATAGAGGGCAGTGATTTTGCTGCACAGAGCTTGGAGGGAAGCGAACCCGAAAGTTGTGGGGGCTCAGGAAGGGTCGGGCAGAGAGAGCACAGCGAGGGGCAGCTCAGGAGAGCGCTCCCATCGTGGGTTGGCCACCAAATCCCCCCACCTGAAAGCTTTGGTGTCCCCAGGCCGTCTCCAGCTCGATGCCAAGCGTTGAGCTCGCAGGACGAGCTGGCAGCGGTGTGTCCGTACGTCCACACGTCCACGTGTCCACACGTCCTTGTCTTTCAATCGCAGAACGAGGTGACGCTGCTGAGGAATGAGGTGGCTCAGCTGAAGCAGCTGCTGCTGGCTCACAAGGACTGCCCCGTCACCGCGCTGCAGAAGAAGACCCAGGGCTATCTTGGTGAGCGCCGCCTGCTGCTGCTGCTGCAGGTTGAACCACAGCAGGGACCACAGAAGGAGGGTTTTGTGGTTTTGGGAACCTCAGGCTTTGCCCCGTCTCCTCCTGATTGCTGTTCTCCACGTGCAGCTTCACCCCTCCGTGTGGCCTTTTTGTCCCCATGCTGGGGGATGTGGCCCCCACCCAGCAGCTCCGGGCAGCACTCAGAGCACCTCATGTCTTTAAAACCCATCTCTGCTCTGAAAGCAGGGTCAGGAACGGGCAGGTTCTGCCAGTGACATCCTGGGGCTCCAGATCTCCTTCCCTGTGACATCAGAGAGCTGAAGGCCTCGTTTTTATCTTCCCATTTTCTTCCTTTCCTTCCTCTTAGTTTTTATACCACCTATTTCGTTCTCAGTCCGCCTGGCTGCTTCCTACCTCATCGTGTTTTATGCAGAGACCTTTGGAGGACTCTGCCCCCCTTCCCCCTCCATTCCCTTCCCAACTTTCCAGTTCCCATGGCAGTGTTACGTTGAAGCCCTCATCAGCTTCATTTCCAGAGCTCGCTCTCTTTTGCCCAGTTGTAGCAGTGGGGGGTTGGGGTGGAGCTGTGACTCCTGTTGGGCTTCAACCCTTCAGTTCTGGGCTGAGAGGTGAGCGTTCAGGAATCACAGAACCATGGAATGACAGCATGGATGGGTTGGGAGGGTCCTTAAAGGACATAGAACTGTGGGATGGCTGGGTTGGAAGGGTCCTGAAAGGTCCAAGGTCCATGGAATGGTTGGGTTGGAAAGGTCCTGAAAGGTCATAGAACATGGGATGGTTGGGTTGGAAAGGTCCTGAAAGGTCCCAGATCCATGGGATTTTCGGGTTGGAAGGATC